AACTTGTTGCAGATAGAAACTAATAGAAGAAACCGGGTAAAGCTACGCTGATATGCTTGTGTTAGATACAAGTTCAGAAGATTCATTGCACAAAAAAGTCTGCTTATATGAATCGGATCTTTTCACTGAAGATGACTATCGACACCCTGACTCTCAAAAAATCATTTCCGCCCTTTCTTTCTTCTATTACTTTCAAAATAATAGGAAGAAGAGAAATAGAAACTGGCAACATTTGTGCTGATCTGTACTATTTTCAACAAATCTAAAAGCACATGAAATTTTTATGAAACTGTAAAACAACCTGCTCATGATGACGCTGCACCAACTAGCCTCTCAGGTTCGATGTTAAAGGGAGGACAATTGGAGTCGTTCAATCGATGTCCTATGACTTAGTGTCCGATTCTTTGTTCGCTTCTTGATCCATGAATGGTCTCGTGAGTGACTAAAAGAAAATGGAGGTCTATTACGGAAGAGCAGCCACCACGAGATGGCACTTGGTGTCTCGGAGGATGCAACATCTATTAGGACTCTAACCTCCACAAATGACACCTTTCCGAGCAGGGATATTCGTAAACACGTGTTGCTCTTTTGTAAATTTACCAGTTAAAATCTCAGGAATATATTATGTATTAACATCAAGTACCGGCTGATTCAATCACGTATCTTATGTTGGAAAACTAAGATTGAAATGAATAACTTTTTTCGAGATCAATTGCCCTAACACCAAACTGATATGTTTGCACTCGACGCGCGTTTCGCCAACAAAGTTGGCGTGGTGGGTACACAACTAGGATTAAATTGATGAATACCGATATTTGGTTTACGGAGGTCAGTTTTTCCAAAATTTGCTTAAGTCAGCATTAGGAACGATTCACCAGTTGCAGAAAAAATACTACTATTTTCTAAACAAAAGTATTTGACATTAGAAATCAAGAATCGGTACAGCAAACGAAGTATGCTAGAACTGGAAGCATATGATTCAAATAAGAAACATTTAAATTAGTCGAAAACGAGCAATGGGATGATTTTCAAAGAAATATGTTCAGGATGATTGAAAGAAAATTTATAAAGAAGATGCATTCATTGAATAATAAATTGAAAAAACTGAGTTCAGAAAAGCATAAGCGTATGGCTTCGAAAACCATCAACATTGTAGAAAACCACTCTTCTCAATCTTTTGATGAAGAGGAACTAGCCTTATTGAATAAAGGTTTGAAATACGGCAT